TAAATATCTGGGAAGTTTTTGAACCGAGGATGGAAAGCACGGCACTGAGGAAGATGCCTTCCAAAAGCTAAGCAGAGTACAGAGAAATAGGAAAATTCCGCAAGAAACAAGGAAAAAAAATACTAAACTACTATGTGTTATCTGCCCTCCTGTATGGCAGTGATTACTGAACGGTATCCTCAAAGATTTAAGAGATGATTTAAAGCAACAGAAATGTCGTTGTACAGAAGGATGCTGAGGATATCGTGGCTCGAACATGTGAACAACGACAAAGTTTTGGAGAAAATGAAAACAAAAAGGAAACTAATATTTAACATCAGGAAGAAACTGTTGAGGTTTCTGGGGCATATAGTGAGGAAGGAGGGCTTAGAAAATCGGATACTCACGGGACAGAAAGATGGTAAAAGGGACAAAGGAAACCAACTCATAACATACGTAATAAGCTTGAGTAAATGGATGGTGAAACAGGGGTTAGGAACAATAAAAGAAAAGAAAGTTTTATTAAGAATTACAAGGGAGAAGTTGTGGAGGTCCATGCTCGTCTACGGCCTGAAGAGACACTGTGCATAAATAATAGGAAGACCTAATTCTCTTGGGATCGTCTCGCTGTAAAGGTTAAATAAATCTGGTTTACAGGACGTATCTTTGCTCTACACCCTAATATGCTTGCTTGTTCAATTCGTTTTCTGTCTGTATACAGTGGGGGAATGGCTATTTCAAGATCCGTGCCAATAACACGGGAAGTTATGAAAATGATTCACTTCTGTACATTAGGCATTTTTAACACACAAGACTAATTTAACCAGTGAGATCGCTGAACTGCTTTTGCAGAGGAAAATGAATTTTTCTTTACGAAATCATATGTAAACATCCTCTCTGAGAGTTAATTTTCTCGTGATAAGTTCAAAAGAAAAGATTTTGGTTTATCAAGGGAATATCAAGATTTACCCACATGAAGAAGACTTGTCAAAAAAAATTTTTTCGAAGAGCCAGCCGGCAGGATCATCAGAAGATAATGAAAATATTCTGGAAATTTCTGTCGATTGACAAAGCCAGTTGTTTGCAGAATTTCTTCTCATTAAATGATTTCGATAAAAAATGTGTGCAGATTCGCTATGACACAGTATTTGACTGGAATTGTTTTTTTTTTATTTTATTAAACACTAATCATGTAAGACATCAAACATAAAAGGTGGAGGTCTGTGATTTTACACAGACTCATTAAAAAGAAATGCATAGTAAAATTATTATGGTCTAATGAGATTGAATTATATTCACTCTGGCTTGCACATATATTACACTACAGCAAATGCATATCTATCTATCTATCTATCTATCTATCTATCTATCTCATCCTCTTTCTTTCTTTCTCTTTCTTTCTTTCTTTCTTTCTTTCTATCTATCTATCTATCTATCTATCTATCTATCTCATCCTCCTTCTATCTATCTATCTATCTATCTATCTATCTATCTATCTATCTATCTTATCCTCCTCCTATCTATCTATCTATCTATCTATCTATCTATCTATCTATCTCATCCTCTTTGTATCTATCTATCTATGAAAATTTCTCCGATTTAACCAGTAGAGAAGACAATATTTATGAATAAAAATGACATTAGGAAAACTGGTAAATGCTGACGCGTTTCGTTCAATGTGGACTTTATCAAAGCAAAATACGAAAATGAAATTAATTGAACAAAGTAACTAATAAAAAAAAACAGAATGTACCAAGCAACTGGAATGTAGAGAAACGGTATTTTCATATTTTTTAACTGAAAAATAACGTCAGAGATTGTCACGTGTGGAGAATATTGTCATTATATCTGTGTTGATGTATTCAACCATTTTTTTTTGATTTTATGAATCTGTTGTGTATATTTGTTTGTAAGAGCAGTAATTCTGTTAAGAAAGGTGAAATGGGGAAAAACCTAATATAAACTTATAATTCGGTAATTTTCTATGGCGGCACTCTCCAGAATTTTCCTTCTGGGTGAGTTATTTTCTTTTTTTATGACTGTAGCATTTCTAAAATCAAAATTATGGTTGAATTTATTTCTATGTATGACTAGTGCATTAGCTAAGTTGTTTTTTGTGAGGCCTCTTTTGTGCTCATAAATCGTTTTTTCAAACTTCTACTTGTTTCTCCAATATATTGCGAGGAACAGTTTTGGCAATTTATTTTATAAATGTGCTTCAGAAATATTAGTGCTATTATTGTTTGAAGATCTGAGTATATCCATAATGCTTTTGGAAGTGTTTGTGACTATTTTAAGATTATTTAGATGGGATATGTTGTTCTGGATAATGGACGTCACAGAGTTGGTTGGTAGTATTATGTATCTGTTTTCATGTGATTTACTATTGCGGATTATGTTATTAGTTTTGTTTCGTTTGTATATTATCTATCTATCTATCTATCTATCTATCTATCTATCTATCTACTTTCTTCTTTCGCCCTTAATCTCGAAGGGAGTCGTCAGGACGCCTGCATATAGAGTTGTTCACCATCTGTCGCGGTCGTGTGTCGGAACCTTGGTCTCCGTGAATGGTTTCTTTGTGGCTCGACTTGGTCGCGAACACGTGGCCGTTGTAGTTCACCTGACGGACCCTTCCGACCCTTCGTTCATTGGTGTCGTGTTAACACCACCTCTTCACGTGAATTTAGCCCGCCAGCTGACACGGCTTAACGGAGCGTGACAACTTGGAGCCATCATGTGAGAGATTTAGGAGATGGTTGAGGACCAGTGATGCCCGTCCACTTGTAGGTGCTGTATTCCAGAAATCAACGGCACTACCTCCATCCAGACACCCCCCTCTGCTCACGCACATATATTTTACACTGAATGTTGGAGTGAACAGTTAGTCATCACATGTAGCACTTTAAGAAATATTGTTGTATATATATATATATATATAGGTTTCTATCTGAGATCATTAAGAATCTGCAGTCCCCAATATTAACTTAAAGAAGAAACATACATAGAAAACACATTAAAAAAACCCTACAATACCCATATCATTTCATCCATACCACAAGAAGGAAGGCATACAAAATTTACAACCGAAACAAAAATAATAAAATAATCTGCAATAATAAATTACAATTCTGTCACGTCCATTATCCAGAACAACTTATCCCATCTAAATAATCTTAAAATATTCACAAACACTTCCAAAACCATTATGGATATACTCAGATCCTCAAACACAAATAGCAATATTTCTGAAGCAGCTATTTATAAAATAAATTGCCAAAACTGTTCCTCCCAATATATTGGAGAAACAAGTAGAAGTTTGAAAAAACGCGTTTATGAGTACAAAAGAGACCTCACAAAAACAACTTGGCTAATGCACTAGTCATACATAGAAATAAATTCAACCATAATTTTGATTTTAAAAATGCTACACTCATAAAAAAAAGAAGATAACTCAATCAAAAGGAAAAATCCTCGAGAGTGCCGCCATTGAATATTATCCAAATATTAATCTACGCCCTCAAGCAAACGTACACAACAGTATCAAGAAATCAAAAGAAAATGGTTGAATCCGTCAACCCAACAATAAATACAATATTTCGACACGTGACAGTACAATATGAAAAAAGCATTCTTCCAGTTGCTAAGGACATTTTGTCTTGTTATTATTAGTTATTTTGTTTAACAAATTCATTTCGTTTTTTGCCTTGAAAAAGTCCACATTGGACGAAACGCGCCGGCTACTTGTACAGTTTTCCTTTTACTTTTATAAATATTGTCTTTTTCTACAGGTTAACTCTGATAATTTTTTCATATTGTTATGAGTAATCAAGTGTGGTCTCCCCTTGTTTTGATACCATCCTGTTTGAGAGAGCCTTTTCTGTTTAGTGGGACTATAAAAGGACACTATACACGAACCTTGTATTCTCAGTTGAATAAAGCTTTCTTAAAGCCTACACTTGCGTACTTTTCTCATTATAGATATATAGTTTCAAAACATATAATGGAGAACTAAAAGGCAGAAATATAAAATATTTGAATGAAATGTTATTCTTTAATATACTTTCATCATTTTAATCATGAAATAATAATGCAAAATGAAATCTCTCGTTGGTATAGCAATCCGAAGGGTACACATCCTACATATACCCCACCAAAATATAACCTCGGGTTTTCCGGTGTTGGATCGGAATCCAGCTGGAATTTTTTTCCAGCTGTTCTGGTCAAACTCTCTACCTTCGGGCAGACAGGATACCCAGACGAGGCTATGTCGAAAGGCAGTCTCTTGTCTCGAGAAACAGCTATCTGACCCCGTTTTATACGGGAATTTTTGGCCGAGCCTACGGGCTCGGATTTCCCCCACTTTAAAACTCGGCCTTGTGCCACATCTTACGTTGTGGGGAGGTTGGTAAATATAACCAACATATCACCATGACCCTCCGGTGAGGCATGCGCCGCGCATTGGTAATCATTGTTTTAGATTAAGAACACGCCAATCTGAAATGAAGCCGCCTGTTTACTGTTTTTATGAGACCTTTTGGATATTCATAAGAATTAAACCTTATATTCATTTGTTTGACTGCAGGGTAAACCAAATTTATACTCACGGTTTTGACTAAATAAAACCAAAACCAGTATCCATCTTTTTTTACCACAGGTACAGACTAAACCTAAGGTAGATTGTTCCCATTCTGGATGTCATGCTTGCCATAACTTTCATATAACTTAATACACACCTTTTTCACATTTGCATTTCTCGTCCGTTTCAGCCACTGAACCAGTAAATTGTAGTTAAGCAACATTGTGCCTGGTCAGTTCCTAGATAGGTGACCGCTTGGGAATACCAGGTTCTATAAGCTAGGATGTGCAGGTGGTGTAAAGTGTTTACGGTCATATCACGTTGAAACACCGGTTCTTGTATGAAGTTAAGCAACGTCGAACCTGGTCAGTACCTAGATGGGTGACAGTTTGGGAATATTAGGTTCTATAAAACAGGATATGCGGGTCGTATAAAGAGCTTACAGTCATATGACGTTCAAACACTAGTTCTCGTACGACCACCAAAGTTAAGCAACGTCCAACCTGGTCAGTACCTAGATAGGTGACCGCTTGGGAATACCAGGTACACCTGTCAACACTTTCCAAGCTAAAAAAATATTTTTTAGATTGTAAGATTTATTTTAGGCAATAATGATTTAGTGATACAAGTCTTACTAATTAATCCATAGCTGGGGAGAAGTACATTTATACCTTTCCAAAGGATATTTGCGTGTAAGTGAATATAATGAAGGACGTTGGCGTCACGGATTGCGGCTCGGAGAGAAATAAGAGAGCCGAGTTGGAATGAATCCGAGTCGAATCCATTACATTCACCTACGTGCTAATACCCTTGGGAAATGTATGAATTCTCTTCCTCTTTCCACCCCAAACTAAGGGTAAATAGCAAGACAGACTGGGCTCAATAGCCTTGGGTGGCAACCAGTCTAGAAAAAAATCTGAATTCAAACACTGACTGGAGAGGGTTGGGCTCCGTCAGGTTATCTTGCCCAAGAAACACTTTTACGGTGACTGCAGTACATGTGATTCCCCTACATGATCGTGATGGTTAATATAACGAGCCCAACTGAAATTGGAACTCGGCTCTCTGATTAACAATTCCGAGCCGTTATTCATTACGCCACCCGCACATCCAAGCACCTGTTATTCCCAAGCGGTCACCCATCTAGGTACTGATCCGGTTCGACGTTGTTTAACTTCAGTGATCATACGCAAGCCGCCACAGAAAATGAGGTGTGAAGATTCATGGCCAACTAGATCCTGAAGCGACATGAAGATGTTCCCTGTTTAAAAAGAGTAAGTTAACAGAAAGTGTATTAGGAAAGAAATGGGAGATTATTGCAGAATTCACTGCAAATATTAAGCTTCTCCTTCTGGCATTTCTACTTTAATGGTTTTATTTCCATTCTGAACCAGTGGATCAATAATCGACACCTAAGGCAGTTCCCCTTTGTTTTTGATCTGTTGTGTCGTTTTCAGTTTTCTGCTCCTCAAATCGATCCTGTAATTTAATCGGATTTAAGAAAGTTTGGCCCAAAGTCACAATTTACAAGTAGACTTTAGGCTACTGCAACAATTTCATGTGTTTTTCCTATAATCTTATACATCCCCAAGACTGTTACATTACTGTCGTCTCCATTATAATTTTCGTTCAGATAGGCTTTCTGTTAAATGATTGCCTACACTAAACTTTAAAATAAAATGACGGAGATAGTTTTTCGATTATTGGTGTACCATACCACGAAGAAGGCTAACATAAACATCAGGACAAAAGACGATGTCACTTCTTCAGCTACACTAAGACGACATTTCTTATTCAATGTACCGTGTCCCTTAAAGACGTGATCGATCATGGTTCTCGACAATTTCGTATCGCCTTTGAAGTAAATTTCATAGATGATATTTACATTTTTGTACATAGTATTTGTTGATGGGCACGTAGGCGAGTGGTTAGAACGGGTTCGAATCTCACTATGGTCGATTTTATTCTCTTGATGTCATCGGTGGATGAGACAATTTCACTTTGGAAATTTATAGAAATAGTGGTTATGCTTGAGGCTGTTGTAAAGTATCTACTTTTTTATCGTTCATCAGAATTTGTTTAAAAACGTAAGGAAACATTTAAGGAAATACATAAGTTAATCAACATCAAACCTGGTCAGTACATAGATGGGTGACCAACTGGTAAGAACAGGTGCTGTAAGCATATAATGTGCGGGTGGTGTGATGGATAATGGCTCGAATTGTTAATCGGAGAGCTGAGTTCCAATTCCTGTTGGGTTCGTTATATTCACTTACGCGCAAATACCTTTTGAAAGGTATGAATCTACTTCTTCTCCCCCAGCTATCGGTTAATTAGTAAGACTTGTATCACTAAATTATTATTATCTAAAAAAATGTTTAAAAATATTTTCTGGCTTCAAATCATCTTCATATTGTTGATAACCGTAGAAAAAGAATTAATCAATAAAAAACAAAACCATTTGCTTTTTACCTCTTAGTAAAATTAAAATTTTTTTTCGATCTCTCCTAATCCTTGTTCTGCAAACCATTTGATTGATTGTTAGGTAGCTTATGCGCCGTTTTCGCTGTCCATCTTGCCTTCAATATGTCCTGTGAGTGTCAAATTTTCTAAGCCGTCTTTCTCTATTATGTGTCCTAGAAATGTCAACTAGTGTTTGCTTCCATTTCAGCAAAAAAAAAAAAAAAAATCATCGTTCAGTCCATGGTATTCTCATCATACTACTGTAGAATCACATTTCTGTTGCTTTTCTTCATTTGTGAGGAGATTGTCCTACATTCACTGCCATATCGGAGGACCTATATTACGTGACAATTCAGTACACTTTGTTTTTTAACGAAATTTTCCTGTTTCTTAATACTTTGCTTAGCTTTTGGAAGGCATCTTTCACTACTCAAATGCGACTTCGGATTCCGATGTCGTATTTTCAGTCCTCTATTAAAACACTTCCTAAATATTTAAATTGATATCTTCAATTTGCTGGGCTGTTTCTTTTACTGACAATCGTGCATTCTTTTTTTCTTGCATTTGATGTTTAGTCCTTTCTTCTCTCTTTCCTTTATTACCTTTCGTAGGAGTTCCTGTAGTTACCTTTCTATGTCTGCTATCAACACTCTGTCATCTACATATGTAATTTTGTTAAGATCGTTGAAGTTAATCACGAGGCGACGATTACAGATTTGAAAGAAACAGTTATTTTTATTTTCTAGGGTAACAAATGTTGTAATTCCAGTTAACAATTAATCTGTGTCCTTTTCTGAAATACTCAGAGAAAGTATCTATAAAATTATTTTACATATTTCTATGTACAACCGTTATGATTCTCGCTCCCTTCCAGGAATAGAAGGTACTCTCATCAAACTTCTAATAGGAATCAATGTGTAATATTAACAGTGTTTCTGCAGTTCACGATGAAGCAGTAAGAGATGTCTAGCCTTGGGTAGTCGAATACAGGAGGTACCAAAATTTTGGCTGTGACACTCCCATTGCATTTGGATGGGAATCGTTAAATGCCTAAGTTCGTTGAAGGCCTTCGTTTACCGTAGCCGGACTCCCGTAATGCGCCTTAGAAGGTAAGTGCGTTTCTCTGACGCCTGTATGAAAAATAATTACGGAGACTGGTCGTTTGACACTTGGCCTATATGAACTTGTACGGGTACGTTACGTGAAATCAGCCAGCTGTAATATCCTACCGCCGTCCCTGGATGGCTATATTAAATACAATATTAGGGAACAGAAGATAGAATCTAAGGATAGTATATTTTTGTTTTATAGTTCTGCTCTTCCTGTACTATGGAGCGTCACATTCCACCACAATGGGGGGTGGGGGTGGTAACTACTAGATCAGATTATTGTTTTATAGTCGAACTTTCTGCACTGGAGTCAGTTCCGCTTTCTGGCCTAGAAAAATACTTATGAGAAACCAAGAAGGGATTAGGTAAATCGAAGAAGAGAAAGAGGTAAAGAGTATCGAAAAGAGCAAAAGGAGGCTGTAAGTAAACTAGATGAATAACAAATAAGCACACATACATATATGTATATGAATTGCCATATATATATATATATATATATATATATATATATATATAGTGCTGGCAACTCGTTTTCTGAGTGTCCTCGTCCAGGCATATTTTGTGTTTATTGAACAACTCCAGAGCCTCCACCTGCTGGCTTGTTCTGCAACTAAGACAAAGAGAGAGAGAGAGAGAGAGAGAGAGAGAGAGAGAGAGAGAAAGAGAGAGAGAGAGATGGGAGGGAGGGGGAAGAGGGAGAGAATCCTCTGACGGGATCAACAATTTTTGAATAATGCCAATACGATCAAAATGTTATTATATATATATATATATATATATATATATATATATATATATATATATATATGTGTGTGTGTGTGTGTGTGTGTATGTGTGCGTATGCACACAGCACGTAAAGAAGGAACAGAGCAAATAGAAGAAAAATTGTTAGCTCTTTTACGGATACTTATCTCAGTGTCGACTTCGTAAATATCTTAGAACAGTCCGCTATTATCAGAATAAACATACCGTTACCTGGAGTCGCTAAAACAAGGGAGGTAACTCATACATTACAAAAATTAATATGCAAATATACATAGCTTATTATACAGACAGTAAGTGTGTAACAGTCAACAATAGAAAAGAAACAAGTTTGGAAAAGAACAAAAGATGATGTAAAAAGTCGAAAAAAGTAACTGATGACAAAGAAGTCACATAAGCGGGAAAATGAAGACCTGTGGAGATGTTTTTTCTGTTTTAGAAAGGAAAGTGAAACTATTTCAGACAAGAAACTGAAGGGAAAACTAAGGAAAAAACAAAAAACAAAAAAAACAACAAAAAAACAAAACAAGAAGCATAAAAAAGCCAATCAGTCGTGAATCAGAGCTAGCTTCGTGGTTGAGTTATTTCTATGACGCATCTAATATTTCATCATAAATTTATTCATCTTTTTCATTAATATTCATTGCACTTAAATGCAATTGACGAAACAACAAAAGACACTGAAACGCTACAATCACCATTACATAGTACATGCAGCAGCAGTAGCAACATACTACCACCATCACCTTTCACTATCAATCCCAAGAATATTCATGACTCTTGACAATATTATTATGAAAGATAACGGCGTGAAGTGGGTTAAGACTATTGGACTATTCTAATACCTTTTCCAAATAAATAAAGCTTTCCTACCATTTCAAATATGTTTTTGAATTCTACCTCACCAAATGCTTTTGTGTAGTCGATAAAACATGTATACGTCCTCCTGCATTCTTATTGATCTCTCAATATATATATATATATATATATATATATATATATATATATATATATATATATATATATATAGATAACTAGACTCGTTTCGAAAAACCCGAATTTTTTATTTGCTAATCAAATCAATCTCGAGGGAAAAATGGTTTAAAAAAAAGAAAGAGCTACAACCATGAACTTCTGCCGACAAAAAATCGCACAGATGTCTGAAGCCCAAAGAAAAAACCTCGATACGAGTAACAACTAACTAACAAAAGAGCTCAATACAACCGTAGAGCAGACCTAGATACACCTAGTGAGTTGAGACCAACCTACCTAGGTTTCACCTAAACGGATCGATCCGTTTAGGTGAAACCTAGTTTGTAGGTTATATATATATATATATATATATATATATATATATATATATATATATATATATATATATATATATATATATATATATATATATATATATATATATATATATATATATATATATATATATATATATTGCATTTCTTGTAGTATCTCTAAAGAAAAACCATATTGTCCTATTTCCAGTCTATTCCGCTACGCGCTTTATTCATCAATATCTGAATGATAAGTTTAGTAATGTGGCTCATTACACTGATTGTCCGATGGAGCTTGAATATATTTCACCTGTTCACTTGGCTTCTTAAGCAGCGCTATAAAGATGGATCTACTAAGGTCATTAGGTATTTCGAAATTACCATATGTTGCATTTATGATTTCCACTACGTAGTTCATAACATTTCGATTACAATCAAAACTGCTCCAGGTGCTTTGTTTCTCTTCATCTTGGCCAGTGCCGATCTTATCACAGTCTTTAATATTTTAGGTCCTTCCAAATTTTTCTATATTGTAGATTTCTCTATTTCGCCGTGGAAAAGTTCTATGTTTTCCTTCAAGCGTTGAAGTAGTTTTCCCTTTTCTATGAGGGTTTCCGCTTCCGATTTTATATATCCTGTCGAGGCCTTTGTCCTGTTATTACTTTTATTTTTTATGCATATCTGTCGTATCTGTGACGAGCAATCATTCTATTCCTGCACGCATTTCATTGAACCATTCCTCGTCTGCCCGCTTGCATTTCTTTTTAATGCTTGTGGTCTATATTCTGTACCAATCCTTTGTATTGTTTGCCGTCATTTTTTTAATCTTTCTGAGAATTTAATCCGCTTCTTTCTTTTAAGCTATAATATTAATAGTATCAAATAATGTCTTAAAAAGCAGAAAGAGTAACGGTAGCAACAATTACATCAATGATAACAATAAGTGATAAAAGTTAAACAGCTGAAAAAAATGACAAACAAAATAACAGTAAGTAACAGAATCAAAGACGCAGACGAGAATTTCTAGATCTGGCCACACAGAAAATATCTAAAAATAGAAACGATATCTCTTAACAGTGCAAACCAGAAAAATGAATCAGAGTTCACGTATTTTAAAGTAAAAATTAATAAAGAACAGAAAAAAACAGCAAGTGTTTTCTCTGTAGAAGAAGAGATGGTGAACCATACCGTCTCTGAATGTAGCAAGCTAGCTTAAAAATATATGAAGGCTGACCTGAAAAAGATTTATATCACTGCACACCACTGAAAATGACTTAATTTGAGGAAAAATAGAACTCGATTACACCCTGCCACGGGTTTAAAACTGACTGTATGGTGAAAGAAAGGAAACTAAACCGGTTGTTTTAATTAATTTAAAAAAAGGTGTAGATACAACTCGAGATCAAGGTATCAGTAGAAAATAACATTAGGAAGGTTGATTGATTAACTGATTTGTTTTTTACAGTTTATCAACATTTTTTGCAGGTTATTTAAAGCCAGAAAATATTTTTAGATTATAAAAATTTGGAGTGGGGGATAATAGATAGTTGAAGAAGAGATGACTCCATATATAAAATGAATAAAAATGAACCCGGTTAGAGTTGGAAATCGACTCTCCGCTTTACAATTGAGAGCCATTATCCATTACATTACCAGCACATCTAGACTTACAGCACCTGCTATTTCCAAGCGATCAACCATCTAAATAATCGTAAAAGAACCGGTGTTTCAACGTGATACGGCCGTAAGCCCAGCAGTCATCACAAAGAAGAGATATCACCATTTACAGAATATCTGGGAGATTTGATGAAACTATAGCACACAATGTGAGTGAGTGCCCAAGTCTACCTTAGCCTGACTCTAAATAGTGGAGGTTTTAATTATTTTTTGTATTTACTACCTCCGCATAGGTCAGGTTAGGAACAAAAATTCCCTTTAGGCCCGAGCGCATCATCGGTTGCGCTGGCGTCGATGCCCCGCAATCATCCCTTGCTCTAGTGCAATGAGAGCACCGATCCCCTCGTCGGGCAGCTGTTCACCAGGGCCAACACTTCTCAGTATAATTTTCCTCAGTTGCGACTCTATCTTTTGACGGAGTCGCCACTGAGTGCACTCTGTCCAAAGACAGAGACGCAACTGAGAGATGATTAATAGATATTTTGCAAGTCACTCAAGAGGGCAATTTACACACCTATAATTTACAGGTTTTAATTACTTATCGTAAATGTGGAGTGTACGCGAAAGGGATATATATTATTACTAATTTATATAAATTTCTGTTCCATAATTAAAAATGTAAGGAATCGTTCGATAACAGTCTTAATAGCATCTAGACAATTTTTTGTGCGCAACTATTTTTCTTGCCAGAATCTATCTTTATTTATATATATTTATAAGTCTACAATTCATTTATGCTTTGAAAATTACTGCCACGTCTGGTGTGGTGATTCTGCTATACATTTAGAGATTGTTGATAAAACCCAACGAAGAATCTGCCATGCTAGTTAAGTACAATAAAATAAGACATAAGTACTAATAGAAAACACAATATCATTTAAATAGAAGATAGAAGACCAAATTCAGTTCGGCTATGCAAATAGTTGGCATGGCCACAAGCTCAAAAGTCATTATAAGAAAAAAATGGCCGCCTTTACGATGTCAGATTTATCAGCCAATCCGAGCGTTAAGGCCATATCGAAAACAGAGTAAATAAACTCTGAGAAATAGGACTGAAAAATAATGAGTCGTCAAAAATTTATGAGGACCAACGCAAAGGGTACATTATCTATCAGATATGATTTTGTGTGAGAAACAGCTTTATATACTAGTTTTAATGCTGAAAATTAAAATCTATCTAACAATGATCTGAGATGTCGGCGAAAAAATTTTCTCCCTGAAAATAGTTAAAAGGTGAATATATTTTGAGTATCCGACAACCTCATTCAGTTCTTATGTTTGTGTCGTATGTGACACTTCAGTCCTGTTAGTAACCTGCATACCAGTCCATTTTCTGTGCAACAGCGAAGATATTGGGACATAGCAACAGGAATATTTGCCGACGCTTTTCAACGTTGTCATTTGTCTCTTTGCTGCTCATTACGAGTGATTTCAAAATTTATGATATCACATGGGCACGAATTTCTCCACATTTCTATCCAGGGCAACTGGCCCGAAGTTAGTATGATGCACTTTGACAGCTGAGACTCATTAGTTGGTCTTTAAACCTGAGTCACAGACGTCCAACAGTCCTTTACCTACTCTCAAAATGGCTGTACATGAGGACCTTAGGTATTCTGTTGTCACTCATCCTTGAAACATGGCCAAACCAGCGAAGTTGTGACTCCACCACTGTTGCATTTTGTGAGGAGATCAGCATTTAACTCCCTATCGTCAAAAGTATAACCACAGATGGTTCGTTGACAACGTTTGTGGGAGACATCTATATATAGGACAGTCCCGTCGATTTTGACGTATGAGGATCCGACAACCTCATTCAATTCTTATGTTTGTGTCCTATCTGACAGTTCATCCTGCTAGTGACCTGCATATGAGTCCACATATTGTGCAACAGCGAGGATATCGGGACATAGCAACAAGAATATATGCTGACGCTTTTCGCCGTTGTCTTTCGTCTCTTAACCAGTCAATACGACTAATTTCAAAATTTCTGATACGACTCTGGCATAAATATCTCCAGTTATTTGTATCCAGAAGAACTCGCTCGAAGTTAGTAGAAAGGCATATTGACAACTGAGATGTGACTATTTAGCTTGTCTTTATACGTGAGACACGGCCGCCCAACAGTCTTTTCTCCACAAAGAACAAACGAAAAGGGTATTCTTGGAAGAAAACCACTTTAAGTCCAACAGTCTTCGTAAATAAAGTGTCCAATATCAAGAGATAGAGCGTCAAATGCAAAAAGTCCGACAATATATTTATTAAAGACATTTTTATTTCTTAATATATGACGTCATTTGTTTACATTTGATACGCCAGAGCAGTTATGAATGTACGAGATTCATGGAAGATTGAAGTTTATAAGCAGTAAATTCGACCTTGCCTACCGAACGCTCCTTTGTGGCCGAGTCGGTTAAGGCACGTCAGCGTAAATGACGGTTCCGTATAGGATGCAGGTTCGAATCCAGTAAATGTTATTTAATACTGTTTATTATAAACAGAGCATTTACTTAAATACTTGTATCTATAAAAAAGAACGTTAAACATAAAAATGTCTTTATTATATATATATATATATATATACAAAAATTTTAAAAAAAAAGAAAACAGCTAAGTTCGTAACCTCATGTTATTAAAAATATATAACACATAAATTAATCTCAAACTAAAATAATTTAAATAGTAATTTGCATAAAACAAACAAATTTCAAAAACTTCATTAACCTGGTGAAAATTTATGAGCGTTCCTAAACTTAAAAAAATCAATCAATAACATTTTCATTCTTGTATATAAATACTTGTTACAAAAAAAAAAAAAAGTGCCTTGCATTTGTCTTGATAAAGTCACTCAGATGACGAAACGCGTCGACTATGATAAGTTTTCCTTTTGTAATTATTCATGTTGTCTTTTTACAGATCTAAAAATGGAAGTAGAAAAGTGAACTTTTATCATAAGTAAAATTTTTCCACTTTGTTATACAAAGTCCTAACAAAATAATAAATTTAATCTGATGAAGTCCGATACAATCCTGAAGAACAAAACGCGTCACAATTAAAATTTTTCCAATACTGTCCTTGATATATACAAATATATATCGTTATCTCGTTATATATATATATATATATATATATATATATATATATGACTAAAGAAATATTTAAAAAATCTTTAACCCCATGTTATTCAAAATATGTAACACGTAAATTAATGCCCAACTAAATTAATTTAAATACGAATATGCACAAAAATAGAAATTTACAACCCATTACTTACTCACTATCTTTTATTAGACATTGAATAGCGTCACCTCGTGTCCTCCATGACTTACATGTGTGTGTGTGTGTGTGTGTATTTCGATAGATAGAGAGAGAGAGAGGTGGGGGGATCTGTGTCAGAGACCGACAAGGAGAGAGAGAGAGAGAGAGAGAGAGAGAGAGAGAGAGAGAGGAGAGAGAGAGATGGTGAAACAATTTTTTCTCTTTGAGGGAAACTCTTTTTAATCATATCTGAAAGAAGAGTATCCATTGTTTGCCAGAAATACTCGAGGGTCGTAACGTATTTTAGACGGTCGGCTCTGTTTGCTCACTGATGACATTAACAGTTCAGCGTCCTGACATGAACGTTTAGTTTGTTCATTCAAAATGGCTTAATATCGCGGAGTTAATGGTTTCCCGCCAGGAAAAAGTGAACTGTGCTCATGCGCACAAGCTGAAAAAAATGTGAAGAATACAAAAAACGTTGTTCAACACACACACACACACACACACACACACACACACACACACACACACACACACACACACACACACATATATATATATATATATATATATATTTCTGGAAGCAGAAAAGTAAGCTTTTATCGACAATTCAACTTAATTTGGTATGGTTAGATTAGAATGAATACATATAACCTCGGAGAACCGGGCAAAAGCTGAATATATCTTACATTTAGACACTAAACCTACAGAAATCATGAGGTATTACTAGGGCGCTCTGACTTAGAGGTGATGATGTTTAAGCCCGTAAACATAATTGATTTCAATGTCATCAAACAATCACTGTATCCAAATAATCACTGGCAACATACATTTTATATGTAATATTGTCCTGAAATAGTCTTTGCACACAATTTCACACCAGACCATCAAAGAAGCTAGGTGTTCCAACGAATTAATTGATTTCAATTTCATCATCTGATGAAGGATATTTTAGACAGTATTGCGATTTGGTGGCAATGATGTATAACCTTTTAATCATATATTGCATTTCCGGCCACTTCAGGTGAATTTTGCCGTCCCTAAAAACAATCATTGTATCCTAATAATTACTAGCAACATATATTTTATGTGATATTGTACTGAAATAGGCTTTGCACACAATTTCAGACTAGACCATCTAAGAAGCTAGGTGTTCCAACGAGTTGACTGGAGGTGAACTTCCGGCCGCCGAATGCGAAAGCACGTGACCTCACTGCTGCATCCGTTTTTTTTTTACAGGCTTGAGAATGACAAATGTGGGAGAGATAGACAACAGTTATCGCGAATAGATGGCAAGTCCCTCAAAGTGCAGACAATGATATAAGCTTCCAATAAAACTGTTCTCCATTAATCATCTGTGAGACGCCTTTCTGCTTTTCATCAGAGAGTGGAGAGTGACTTATTGCGCCTTGCCGGGCTGACATGAAGTGGAAAGACTATATTGAATCCATTGCTAGGTCTGCTGCTAAGAAAGTTGGTTCACTGTGTCGTGCGAGACAAGTTTCTCTTTTCAGGATCTATCTTACATATCTAAAAGTCTAGCATTAGTTCATGATTCGTTGTTCCTGCGGTATATTGAAAGATTCTTGATATAATCCAAAGACGAATCAGCAATATGATTACTCGCGTCTCGGCTTCAGTCACTTTACTGACTGTCATGTAGCTTCCCTGTGCCTTTTCTATAAATATTTTCATGATGATAGTTCGAATAAACTCTTCGCACAGGCATTGAATTGTACATATGGGGACTAGTTAGGATTTTCATAGAGACAATGAGGTATTATGGTGGATGTACTGAGAAAGGTAAGTAAGAATGTGTTGCTTTGGTGTAAGGAATATTGCTGTATGTTTGGATATTGCTTGTGGCTAGCTAAGTTTAAAGTTAAGACAGAAGTTGACCGTCCTTTACATAATCCTTCTTGTAAGAAGATTAAGTTGCGCTGTATTTTCCTGTATTTGAAAAGCTTACTATTAAATTTAGTATGTAGACATTTTCAACGTAGGAAAGCGCCTCTAAATTTAAGAAATTGGCGCCACATGATCTTTCGACTAACCATTCACTATGTTTGAATATGCATTATATTAAATATATTAAGTGATCATTATCGATATAAGAAAGCGTATCTAGATTTGGGAAATTGGCGCAACATAATCTTCCTACAACCAATCCCCACTGAATATGCATCGTATTAAATTTAGTAAGTGACCATTTTCCAATTAGGAAAGAGTGTCTAGATGGGGGAGTTTGACGCAACATAAACTTCCTATTAAATTAAGTAAGTGAACATTTTCAACGTAGGAAAGCTCATCTAGATGTAGAAGGTTGGCGCAACAAAATCTTCTTACAGCTGATTCCCTCTGTTTGGATATACATCATCTTAAATTTAGTAAGTGACCATTTTCTATATAGGAAAACGTTTCTAAATGTGGGAAATTGGCGCAACATAATCTTCCTTCAAAGTATTCCCTCTATTTGAATATACATCGTCATAAATTTAGTAAGTGAACATTTTCCATATAGGAAAGCGTATCTAGATTTAGGAAATTAGCGCAACATAATCTTCCTACAACCAATCCCCCCTGAATATACATCGTATTAAATTTAGTAAGTGACCATTTTCAAATTAGGAAAGAGTGTCTAGATGGGGGAGATTGACGCAACATGATCTTCCTATTAAATTAAGTAAATGAACATTTTCAACGTAGGAAAGCCTTTCTAGATGTACGAGGTCGGCGCAACATAATCTTCCTACAACCCATTCCCTCTGTTTGAATATACATCGTCTTAAATTTAGTAAGTGGCCATTTTCCATATAGGAAAGCGTATCTAGATTTGGGAACTTGGCGCAACATAATCTTTCTACAATCCATTCCCTGTATTTGAATATACATTATATTAAATTTAGTAAGTGACGATTTTTCAAATTAGGAAAGAGTGTCTAGATGGGGAAGATTGGCGCAACATAATCTTCCTATTAAATTAAGTAAGTGAACATTTTCAACGTAGAAAAGCCCATCTAGATGTAGGAGGTCGGCGCAACATAATCTTCCTACAACCAATTCCCTCTGAATATATATCGTATTAAATTTCGTAAGTGACCATTCTCAAAGTTGGAAAGCGTATCTTGATGTAGAAGATTGGCGCAACATAATCTTCCTTTCCTATATGCAACCCCACCCTGATTTTGTATTATGCTAACCTTAATATATGTCATGATCTAAGTATAACCCCTTTCGGCAATGATTCCAGGTTTTGTTGTCATTAACAATTTCAACTATTTGTGTTCATTTAAACTGTTATATCTTTACGGTATAGAATTTCATGGTAAATGCATTTTATAATAGGAATTTGCCTCTAAATGTTAATCTCGATTGGTGTTTAATTCCCCGCAAGTCCCTTTAGGCAGAAAGAGTGCAGGCGAGCAATTAGTTTCCTGAAAGTTTGAAATGCCTCATAAAAGTTTAGAATCTAAACTTTTATTTTTAATTACTTGTCTTCGTCATATTTCAAAGCTTATTCGTTCTCGTCTATTCGATATTTGGTTCGGTATTGAATGCTAAATATATCATCGATAAAATCGATATGTTAATCGGAAGAAATGAAAACTTGTATAATTTATGCCCCTAAGAGAAATTCCGTTAGAAATTAAATAGGAAAAATTGCTATATGTTGACAGGTATTGGTAAAACGTGACAGGGATACTTTTTTTCTTGTTCGTCCTCTGTTTCTCTTTCTAGCTCTATTGTTCCATTGAAATCACACACACACAAAAAAAAAAAATTAAAAAAAATAAAATAAAAGGTAGTGGATTCAACTGATTTTTAATGCCAGTTCAAGAAAGACATTTGGGTCACTAACACACACAAAAAAAGAATGTCTCATATTGAGAATATTTAACATCGAAAAACATAAAGGAAAAAAATTAATTATTTTTAATAATATGTGGAAATCTCCACCCTTTGCCTGATGACACTCGCGAGACCGGAAACACGTGTAGCAAAATTATGGAAAATAAAGCATAATATTTAAAAAGAATATCCACATTACAACCAAAAACGTTTACGGTTTCTCTCTTCTTTTTAATATACACCCTTTTCTCTAGTTGGAACTAATATAACCTCTTTCTTTATATATATATATATATATATATATATATATATATATACACGTTTCATTAAATTTATTTTATGTAAATTTTTTTCGTAACATCTGATAAGTTTAATAACATTATCGTTGAACGAAGAAAGAAATTCACAATATTGATCCATATTTTTTTAATATAATCTAAGCTTTCGGCTTACTTAAGCCATCATCAAAGATGTCAATTACAACATATGAAACAATATACGGACACGACAGTGATGATAGTCTGTCAATGTTTATATAGATGATTTCTAAGCAACGATAAACACGCGTATATAAGACGTTAGAAGCGAAAATCGCACCGCATCTCATGACGTCACACATGACCACACGAGAGTGAATTGGAGACGTATGAAGTATGGAAAGCCGTTGGTATAAACCAATGGCTTCTGTTTACCAATTATAGACATTTAAGAATATTTGTAGAGATGCCATAATTGATTTTGTTTAGGTTGGGTTTCAACTGTTTGATGTATAATGCTTCAAGTATTTTTAGTTTTTGTCTATTGTTTTCATGTCGAAGTATAATTGTTTTCGACAAGTATTTTACGGAATTGTGTGTGCGGGCAGGCATATTGTTTTAAATGCCTAAAAATGTTAGAGTTTTCATTCAAATGTAGTGTCAAGCGTCGTGAAAGCGAGTTTGTAGTGTGACCAACATAAATATTATTTAATTCGTTGGAGATATACTCTCCCAAAGGGCACTTGAATTTATAAACTATGTTGGTCTTTTGCAAATCGCTAACCGGGGGAGAAGAATCATTGCGAAGTATTAAGTTGGATATACTAGATTTAGTGTAGTATATGATTAATTTAAATTTTTTGCTAGGATCTGTAGTTGATATATACTAAATTTTTTAGTATATTTTCATCTTGTTTATAATTAGTATGCATTTGATTATGATATAGGAGATGAATATATTTGAGATCAGTAGAAGCGGTATTATATATCTATATCACGTGCAATAAACCCTGATGCCTAGTTTGTAAATATATTATCACCAATAATATTTTTACGCCATCTGTCACACAAATAGTAACCACACCTCCTCCTTTGACTTGCGACTGTTTAAATATAATATATTTACTTTTTTTTACAACA